CCGCCCGCCCGCCCGACCGACCGCCCGCTCACGTGATAACATAATACGTCCCGTCTTCGACGGGCGTATAAAAACCATACCAACAATCTTACTGGTGTTAACAGAGTTAATAATCTGAAGTTAAAATATAATTCACTTCGTACAAAATGCATATTTCCCTTTCATCTTCCTTAATATGTTTTGGTCCCAAAAAGTAATTCTGCGAGCGGCTTTACGTTGTGCCTTTTCTATTTACATACCAGTTTAAAAAATTCCAAAAAGTGTAAAATATAAGTGCCTCATTCTTCAAGACACATTTCAACATCCAGGACACATCAATTGTCTTTATAACAAAGATATCTTAACCTTTGTATTTCCAATGTCCCTACCTACGCCTGTTCTTTAATGCGGTCGTTAAAATGATGTCAATATGACACAACAGCCTTCACGGGTTTGATGCACTTCAAAAATGAAAAAAGTTCCAGACGAACGTCAGCTGCCTCAGCAATGAAGTTGATTTTAGAAAAGACATACAATGCAGAGTCAAGTAGTGCCATTTCTTTGGTAAACATGTGTCTTTCCATATTTCCCAGTGATATATTTAGTAAGGACTTGTCAAGCTTTCCAAATCACACATTCAAGCTATTACACTATGATGTACAGTATAAATAATATACCCACGTGTGTCACGTATTTTTACTACCTAAATGTCGATGTCAATCGGAAACCGTCGGCACTTTCCGTTAACGAGAAAATACTATATTCTCGTTTACGGAAAGTGCCGACGGTTCCCGATTGACCAATACTATGTAGACAGCCATTTTACTACTAGTCTGGAACATTAATTCACCCTCATACTATTAATGATTTATCAATTAATGAAATTTTATGAATGACAAAGAATTGGTGACAATGCCGGCTATTAGTTTGAGGAGCCAATCCACTCTCTTAGTTGTATATTTGTAACGTTATAAGGGGTTTATAGGCATCTTCCCCCTTTGGCTGAATGTCTTACTCCTCTGACTCGGATTGTTCGTTTGTTTAACCTTTAGATTACAGAAGAGTCCTGAACGGACAACACGGACATTTAGTACATAGAGGATCTAGCACGAGTGTTCATGTTATATTGAATTTATTGAACGAGTAGATTAATTTCATATGAAACGAGCCTTTGGCGAGTTTCATATGAAATTAATATACGAGTTCAATAAATTCAATATAACATGAACACGAGTGTTAGATTCTATTTATTATATAATTGGAGAAACCTACCTACATAAGTGGTTTCAATACTAACGTCTCTATATGCAATGACGACGAGAAAGGACGCATCACATATACTAATTTGAGAGCATGTTCCGCTAACAAAAGTAGTCCGCAGAATTTTATCAGAATAATAAATGGCCAACAGTTTTACTTTTAACGATCATTTTAATTGTGATAACAATTGAAATAATAAAAGTTTACAAAATATGACTTCTTTTTTTTCGCTTCGGAAAAAAACTGGGTTTTTTCATCGGTGACGTCATGAACAGTGTATGAGCGCGCGCACTAGTTCCCACGGTGTCGCGCGCTCATTTGCATCTTTATTGCACACGTTCAATATCAATTTTATTGCACCCCTTTATTGCACTGCAGAAGCCTTATATTATATAATAAAGTAATATATCTGCTTTGTTTGGCGTTTTGTTTTGCATTATAGAACATTGTATTTCAAATATGTGCTTCTTCAATCAAATATGTCTGATTATTTTTTCGAAATGTGACTACAAGCACGGAACTAGATGCTATCTAAGTCCGTGCTACAAGCAAACAAATATGACAATTATAAATATCCCGCCGTCTAAAGTTGTATAATGCTGATCTATTAATAGTACTGGGGAGCATCACCCATTGATAAATAGGTCAATTAAAGAAAATGAGATAAACTAGGGAGGGTGACACACACGGCAACCCCCTCTCCCACAAATTAAAAATTAAAAATATAGGCAGAGGAGACTGCAAACCAACGTGTTAGGTTTTGTTAAGAAGGAGGAGAGTTAAATATGAACCGTACACATACCTTTTGGTTTCAACGAATTTTATCAAATTAACAAAAGGATTAGACAACAGGCAGGGCCTATATATACACATACCTTGATTTAATATGTAAAATAAAGACGATTAATGCATATGATTAGTTCGTGTGATGTGTTTTAATAAAAGTATTCGTCTATCATTTATTTACACTACAGAATCATATGTACTTGGTATCTGACTACCAACTCGCTGTTATTTGATCACTGTGTAAATCATACACCTAGTATCTACAACAGTCCTGTCCGCAATACAACGTGGTAATAGTCTGTCAGAGCAGGGCTAAGTCCTTCTCTTAGATTTAAAATAGCAAAATCATTGAGCTCAAATTAAAACAAAGGTACAGCCGCTCGAACTACTAAGTAATGAGTCTAAAGGAAGGAAGCCGATGTAAAGTGCCAGGGTTGGTAAACATGTACAGTACCATAGGCCATATCATCCACTAAGGACTAATCACTGATACTATATATTCATAATGGAAAAGGTCAAAATAATATAAACCTTCATGTCCGAAGAGTTCCGAAACGTGTAAATATTTGGAAGTGTTGCCTATTATAAAACCTTTTATACTGTTACAAATTGACAACCTTTGGCTACGAAAGAGAATTTATTTTAAAACCGGTTGTTTCATGTAAACTTTGCTAGAATAATTCACAATAAAATATTATGGTCAAACACGGGAAGTAATAGTCCACCAGCAGAGTTGTGACGTAAAATTATCGCCAGAAATGCAAATTAACTAAGTAGATGAAGATAACCAAACAGAGTAAACGTTTACTGCTCGATATAGGTATTATAATGGTAACCGAGCAGACTGTATAACAAAAACAGTCACGA